GGCAGCACACAGTGATGTTCTCATTATAATCAATTTTAAATGTATCATAAATATACTACTGAGATATTCCTGGCACATTTAAAATGAAAATTGAGTGCTTACATGAACTTTCAGATAAGATTTAAGATTTATTGAATTTTAGAAAACAACTGAAAGGTATAATAATTTGAAACTGATTCAGAAAGAGGTTTATCAATGGGTTTATCATTGGTAGAGGTTTATCAATGGGTACTAAGTTACAGTTAGGACAGTTGACTTGACCTGGTATGCTATTGCACTGTAGGGTGACTGTGCTTAATAGTAATATACTGAGTCTTTCAAAAACCTAGAAGACAGGAACTGAATGTTTTACCATAAAGAAAATGATGCATGTACCCTCCCAAACTTAGCCATGATCAGCATTTGCTGGTCCTAGGGGTGTATTATAAATGTTTGGAACAACATGTTTTTATATATATATATATATATATAATTGTAATGTTTTCATGTATAGAATAAGAACAAAAGAGAAAGAAGTGGGATTGCAGTTGTACTCTGAGTGATGATGCTGGATTCTCCATTGTAGAGGTTGTAGTTTTACACACTCATCAGTAAAAGAGGGTTCTGATTTCAACTTCAAGGAAACGGATAAGCAATATTTCAAAAGTCATGAGGAAGAAACATAAAATTTATTCTTTTAACCCATACAAGAAAGTGTTGGTGGAATTCACATTGAGTCAAAAATTTGACTGATATAATCATTATTCCAAAATTTGCCAGGCTTAGTATACAATAGGCAGTTCTGCAAAGTAGAAACCTCATTGTGAAGGACTGCTACCTCAAGGCATGATGGTCGGCATTTTCACTGGAGTGTTCTTTGACTCAGTAGCCTTAAGGATCCCCTCTGATCTCAGATGTTGATATCCTTTCCTGTAAGTCTTTTCAGTGACACTGTTCCACTGGTTTCCAGTTCTTCTGGGGATAATTTTATGAAATACATTTAAATTGTAGAACCAAGTTTTGAAATGAAGTGTGACCTAAGTAATGTTTTTAGTCCATTAGAACATTTTACAGATATATTCTCATTTGAAGGATACCTACTGGATGGATGACCTCCCAAATTTCCTTCTATAATGTAATCAACCCGCTTTTGAAATCACCTTGCACAGTTGACTTGACCTTGATTGAACTGTCACATTGGTTGTCTTAGATTTGGTTCCCATAAGTCATGTACCATGTATGTATCAAATTATTACAAGCTACAAAAAATCAAAAGAACTTGTCCTTAGTTTCTCTCCATAGTTGCATAGGAGAATTTCTTGAGTGTGGTATCATTTTTGTGTGGTATCTTTTTTCTATTGTGCTGCATATACCCTCCCAGACACGATGATGTAAAGTCATAGATTTTTAGTTCCTCATGATTTGGGGTTGATGGGTCATTGTTTCTACTGGTCTCACCTGGGCTTGTCCTTGTTGGTGCATTCAGGTGGGTGGGTCTGCAGGTGCAGAGCTCAGCTGATGATGGGCAGTGGGGCCTTGACAGGTGATTATCTGGGGAAATTGACTGGGACTGTTTTTTTTAAAATATATGCTCTTGTTCTGTAAATTAATAAGTCAAAGAACAAGAAGACAGTAGGACCTTGATAGCACATGGTAATTTTCAGGAAACTAGATAATGTGGTGATGGAAGATGCAAATTAGAGAAATCATTCAAAGAAAACTGAAGTGTGGAACAATGTTTTGAAGAATCTGGTACAAATATCATTTTATCTGCTCCCTCATCTCAGCTTCTCTCTCTTAGCCTTGGGCTCACCTATAGGGGTCCCTTGGGAAATGACCTTAATGTGACAGCAGCGTGCCTACAGTTGTTTTCTAGGTTGATCACGATCACCCTGTCTACACTCGACTGCTTGAACATCCAAGTGTTAATGTAAACTACTGCCTCCGTCCCAGGGCCCCTTAAACTAAGAGAAGCTTGGTGAAGCAGGTACATTTTTGTTTTAATTTTAATTTTTAGGTTTATTTAATTATAGGAGCAATATTTGCTTATTTTGACAATTAAAAAATATAGATATGTGGCAAAAGAAATAGTCACTCTCCAGTTCTCATCCATCAAATTTAATTCTTCCAGATATAGCTTTAGCTTTTTGCACCTTTTTGTGCACACAGCATATATAATATGTGTGGGTAATTTGCTGTAAAAAATTGGTCCTCAACTGTACAACTACTTAAGCAACTCGTTTTTATTATTTTAAAATGCGTCAGGGAAATATCTCCATGGTAATAAACTTAGATTTAACTTATACTTTTTAATAATTTCATGCTGTAGCATGGGGTGAATGTACCATAATTTATTCAGCTCTTTCTCTGTTGAAGGACATTTACATTTTTTCCAGGGTATATGGAAATTATTTGCTGAAATTAAAAAAAAATAACTTTCACTTTCTGTGAAAATAAACAATTTTGAACATATACACAAGTACAGGTGTGCCATTTATTTCTTTAAAAAAAATTTTTTTTAGTTGTAAATGGACACAATGCCTTTATTTTATTTATTTATTTTTATGTGTTGCTGAGGATTGAACCCAGTGCCTTACATGTGCTAGGCAAGAGCTCTGCCACTCAGTTACAACCCCAGCCCAGACCTCTTTCTTTCTTTCTTTCTTTCTTTTTAATACTGGGGTTGAACCCTGAGGCAGTTTACCACTGAGCCACATCCCCAGCCCTTTTTGATTTTTTATTTTGAGAGAGGGCTCATTAAGTTGCCTAGGGCTTCGCTAAGTTGCTGAGTTTGGCCTCAAACTTGCAATCCTCCTGTCTCAGCCTGAAAAGTTGCTGGGATTACAGGTGTGCCCCACTGTGCCCAGTACAGATGTGACATTTTTTTTTTTGCTGACTTACCAGCCATAAGATTGTTGGGTCATGAAAAGGTCAGTCATTTCTCAGTATCAGAGATATCATCAGATTCCTTTTTTTAAAGGTGGCAAAATGATATATTTCAATAGTTGGAGACTATGTACTATATCCTTACCAAAAAATACTTTTAAAATTTTATTTTATTTTCACCAAAATAAAATGTAGCTGGGTAGATTGGCACACACCTGTCATAATCCCAGTGACTCCTGAGGCTGAGGCAGGAGGATTGAAGTTTCAAGGCTAACCTCAGCAACTTAGTGAGACCCTGTCTCAAAACAAAAAAATAAAGAGATGGGGATGTGGTTCAGGGGTAAAGCACCCCTGAGATTAATCCTCTGTATTAAAAAACAAACAACAAAAAAATCTCTACATGACTTAAAAAGTAAAATGGTACTATGAGATAGTAGTTTCCTTCTTTTCCCCCAACTCTGCTTCTAACCTAGAATAATTTTCAATACCTTTAGATGTTCCTGTTGACTCCTCTTACATATCTAAATGTATAAGATACCAACTCAATTCTTTTACTTTTTCAATTTGGGCATCATCTCTTGACCCTCCACCTTCATTTCTGTGCTTTGAATGCCAAATCCCACCTCAGCTGGGCAGTATAGTAGTTACTCCACATGTTGGTTGAGAATATGCTGTGTATCAATGTTATCAGACTATATTAATGCATAGTTTTCACCATTGGGTCATACAGTGTCCAACTATTATTTTTTTTCTAGAATTAGCAATTTTTTCTTTTCTGATTATTTTGTTTTCTGTATACCCATCATTAATGCTTCATCAAATCCTGCCCAAGGAATTAGACCTTCTCAATATGATCAGACACATCAAGTAATTGGAACTTCTATTTCACTTTATGCTATTTTGTATTTTTCAGAAGGCTTTGGAGACCTCTCTCCTCCAGTCTTCTGTTTTCTTGCTCTATTCTTGACTTCTGGGCTTCTTGACACTTTCTCAGCTGTCTCTTTAAATCATTTAAATCATTCTTCACAATCATCTTGAGAAATCCCCTTTACTTTTCCTTTTGGGAAGTCACTTGTTGCCTAAATTTCAAATCTGTTCTTTGGCTCATTTTACTGGGGCATCTACAATTGTAGCTTTCTGAGAAACAGTGCCCGCGAGATCAATTCTTGAGTCCTTTGAATATCTTCTTTGGTTCTTTATCCGGTATTAAATTCTGAGTCATAAATAATATTTAGTTGGAATTTTAAAGAATCTTCCCCCCTGTCTTCTAGGGCAAGTATTGCCATTGAGAAGTCTAATATCAATTTGATTTGCTATTTTTGTCCACAAAAGCATTTAGAATATTTTCTTTATTGTCACTATTTAAATTTTCTTTTGCCAATATGTCTTAAATTGTGCTGCATATTAGTTAGATTAACCCCTTAAATCTGGAAAACAAAATTACTTTGACATTGTTCTCTTCAATTAATGCTTTAATGTTCAAATAGTGTGAACCGTTTACTCTCTTGGCATCCCTCTCTTTAGGGACTTAGATTTCAGTTGTCTCTGCCTTGCCAAATCCAGTTACCACTCATCAGTTCATTTTGTATTTTGCAGAAAAAAACAAAAATCTTACCTCACACTGTCCTTTCTCTTTCTTCCATTAATTCTTCTTCTTCTTCGAGAAAAAAAATCGCTTGATCATGGCATAATTTTAGTGGGATCTTGGGAAAAAGTGAAGGTAAATACATGCGCTTAGTCTTACATGATTTTTTTTAGAAAACATATGTAGAATGTCTTAAAAGCATTTGCTAGTTGGTCATAAAGAATTAATTATTTTTAAGCTGGTAATATAATACAAAATACGCTTCGTGTGTTTCCCTTAAGTTACAGAAATGATTAGTTCTACATTAATACCTGAATTTCCCTCTTTTAAATAAATCTGCCAGACTTTCCTGACGTGTTCAGTTAAAACATTTTCTTCAAGCCCAACATTATATCTTCCTTTCTGCTGGCTCATAAGAGGACTATCTCCAAGTTAAGCATTTATAAAATTCTGTACATTGATCTTGGTTCAGTCTTTCACATAATAATGAATAGTGAGTTTGTGTGGTTTTACAGCATGCTTATGAAATAACCATTTTTTTTAAACATAGTGCCAAGGGCAGTAGAGCATCCTAAGTGGAACTGGCGGACTAAACCAGGAAGCCGGGATTTTGATGAATTGAACCACATCCTTCAAGAGAGCAAGAAGCTCGGGAAAGCCCTTGAGAATCTCTCCCGAAGTAAGTTCATTTACTTGATTATAATTGAAATTCTTAAACATCATTAAAAAGCAGAAACATTCATTACTATTGGCAATGCCCCATTTCCAGCATCCTCATTACAATTCTCTGAAAGACTGAGGCGTTCAAAGGGCGTGAGATTGGAAATGACTGATTTTGCGTATTACACAGATTTCTGGGTAGACTAATTACAGAGCATATGAGGAGTTGTAGAACCCCTTGAATCTGTGTTACTCTATCCCTCTACTTGGTTTTTGCTACCCAGTTCAAATGTATACCCGATGGCATCTTCTTCATTCTTCCTTTTTGAAAAACATCATCATCTTTCTAACTAATAAACATACTCATTGTGTCCGTGAGACTTGGATGTCTTTGAAATTTCATGGATAGTAACAACTGGGCCAGATTCTTCTTAGAATCCTTTCAGAGCCTAGGACAGTGCATTGTAATTTACTTTTTTTTTTTTTTTTTTACAAAAGCAATAACTGTAATCAGAAGGCCTAGGTTAGAGGTTTTGCTGTGCTATAATAGCACAGTGACCTCCAGTAATCACTTAACCTTCTTGAGTCTTGGTTTTCTCATCTCCAGAACAGAAAGTTATGACTGTGCCTCCTGGTAGGGGCAAAGGCTTAAAATATTACTTACATCCCATGAAAATTTTAAATAAATGTTATTTTCATCAGAGCAGGTGAACAAGCATTTTGATTTGAAGAATGCTCTCTCTGTATGTAGACCTGCATATGCACTTCAGATTTTCAGTGGTTAGTTCACAGCGTTCCTCTCTTTCTCTGGTTCTTTAAGTGCTTATCAGTTTTAAAAATTGGATACCTTTAAAAGCATATTAATGTCAGGGTCTTGCTAAAATTTTTCTTTAGTGCCATGGAATATTCAGGATTCTGTGACTGTCGATGTAGCTCAGTGGTTGCTTGCCTACTATGTATGAAGTTCAGTCCTCAGCACTGAAAAATCTTAAAAGATTGTGAAATGAATGTCTGTTTCTTTGTTTGCTTTTAGATAGCATAGTTATAATGATTTCATGAATTTTATCACAGGTAAATATAGGCCCTTGGAAGGTTTTAGAAGAAGTTTTATTATGTTGTAATTATATGTGGTATATAGTATTATATATATTTATATGCATATTATGCATTATATATATATATGCGCTTACACAAGTATAATTTTCATACCTCTTTATTTAGAACTCAGTCAAGCCTTTTTTAGACTTTTGTGAAATGAAACCTTTCCAGAAGTTAAGCTGCATTATAATAGGATTTTAAAACTTTCCCATTAGTAGAAACCCTCTGGATGGGATTTAAGAAAGCCTTAAAGCTTTTGCATAGATTTTATTTTTGGAGCAAATAACAATAAAGTGAGTTTTCAGCTTATTACTGTATTATGTTCATGAAAAGAACTTGATCCTATTAATTTGGCAAAGGCCCCCTATTAATATTTCTAAAGGTTACCCTTTGGCACAGAGCCTGTGGCTCTTCACAGCCTCTCTTTTACTAAAAGAAGGGTGATTGAGGAATGTGGGTGATTATTACACAGAACTTCAAAAATACTGTCATTCAACTCTTGCCCTTTAAAATGTGGCAATGATCTTACAAACACTTGCTGTACTGTTGTTAATTTGTAGGATGCCACTTCATCTGTCCCCCAAACTTTTATTACTGTGGATGACTGTATTTCAATTGTGTCCTTACCAAGATTTGCAACAGAAGGGTTAGAGTTCAAATGTGGTTTGAATGTGACCTTACAGGCTGTTTTGGTCTATTCAGGCTGCTATAGCAAAATCCACGGAATCAGTGGCTTATAGACAATGGAGATTTATATTTCACTGTTCTGGAGGCTGGGAAGTCCCTGATCAAGGCACTGACAGGTCTGGAGTTTGGAAAAGGCCCCCTTCTTTGTTTATAGTTGGTGATTTCTCTCTGCCAGGGCAGCTGTCTGGGACCTCTCTTATTTGGGCATGAATCCCATTCCTGAGGGAGGAACATTATTACTTAATCACCTCCTAGGTCTCACTTCCTAACCCTGTCACACTGGGGATGGAGATTATGTTTTAACATATGAATTTGGAGGGGACACAAACATTTAGACCCCAATGCAGGTGATGTTTTACAACTGAGTCCTGTGATCAGAAGCCCATGATGGATTTGTTAAATACTTCAGGACAGTCTGGTGAAATGATAAATGCTTGGGGCAGCCTATGGCCGGCAGAGTATGAGAGGCAGATCTGGGACATTGTTCTTGGAACAAAGCCAGAACCAAGGAAGCTATCAGGAGAGTCATTGCCTAGACCTGAAGAAAGTGTAAGTCAGCTCCTGTATTTATGATGGGTACTATGTCTGGATTTGCTTGGTGTTTTAAGGGACTCTATTTTGTGAGAGTATGGTGGTGGAACTTATATGAGATTAGTAAGAGGAACTCTTTTCTATCTCAAATTTATTTGAGTATCTTTCTGAACAAAGTGATTCTTTCTTTGAATGACTTAATTTTCAGTATTGAGTTTTAACATTGAATCCTTAGGCCCAACATGCTCATAGCTAACTTATCAGTAGAACTGCCATGGTCAGTATAAATTATTACAAATGCACACTTATTATGTATCGATGTTTACTTTGCTGTGTAATTGCCCAAATTCAGCAATAGAATCACAAACTTGGGTCTAGCAGCATTCTGAAGCAGAATATAATTCATTCTTGTTTGAAATAGTTTGAATGAGTTTGGATGTTCTTTCATTGAATAGTAACTTTACTGTCTGTGTTGCTCAACTTTCCATCACTGTGAGAAAATCAACTCAATGGCAGAAAGATTTATCTTAGCTCGCTGTTTCAGACATTTCAGTTCATGGTCGGCTGGCTCCATTGCTTTTAGTCTGTGGCAAGGCAGAACATCATCATAGGGAGCAGGTGACAGAACAAAGCTACCTACCCCAAGGTGTTCAAGAAAGTAAAAGGGAGGTGGAAGGAGGCAGAGGTTTTATTATAAAGCCCTCCCACCAAAACCCACTAAACTATGAATCTATGAATGGATTAATCCATTCATGAGGTCAGAGCCTTTGTGATCTAATCAACTCCTCAAAAGCCCCACCTCTGGACACTGCTGCATGGGGTACCCTGCCTTCAACACATGAGCTTTTGAGGGACATTTATGATCCAAACCATAACACTGCCCATTGTTTTGGTTATAAGGAAGACATGGGAGGTGGAATTTTCTTCCAGGTATCATCAAAAGAAATTTCAGTGTCTTGATATTGTGGACCTTTCTCTCCAATGTCAAAGCCATTGATGGGAAAAGTTGAAAGTTTTCTACTGAACTCCTAATTTAATAGTCTTTAAGGAGAGCTTGCTTTGCTTTTTCTTGGCGATACATTCTATAAAAATCCTACATATTTCAGAAATATTATTTTTAGATGCTTTGATAGCAAATAATCATTTACATCCCCCCAAATGGCAGACTTGTCTCAGCCTGGCAGCTGTCTTATAGAGACTTACATATCATACCCACACCCATTTAAGACAAGGTTCCAATAATCCAGTTTGCAAACATAATTTTCATTTCATTAATAACGATACCAAGCTCTCTTTCTGACTTATTGCAAGCTTTTCAGTGTGATGTTTGATCTTTAATTCAGTCTTAAACTGGGGGAGTCTTTGTGATATTACTCCACCATGAAGGTAGATGTGTTAGAGTGACTTATACTGCCTTGTCATGCCACATAGTCATGATGTGGTAGATGTGGTGAGATTTTGGTGCCTGGATTTTTCTCTCTGAAGCATTCTGAACTCTCTTCTGACACTGATTCTCTCCTCCCATGAGCTTGGGACTCATACTCATTCCTTTCAGTGTTTCCCACCACCTGGCTTTCAACTAGTAAACATTTACCTTCATGTCCCCAAATAATGTCTCTTCCAGTGAGTGTGATTGCAGGGCCTCAGGGCAGCATCCTTCTAGGTGGTTGCTAATGAGGGCCCTTCATGACATTGCTGGCTGTACTAATACTAACCTTGATCAGTTGGTTAAGGTGATATCTGTCAGGTTTCTCCATGGCAAAGTTAGAACCTTTCCCTTCACTGATAGTAAATATCTTGGAAAAAATACTTTGAGGCTATCAAAACATCCAGTTTCTTTTCATACTTTCACCCTGCATACGTCAGGCTGAGTTCAATCCCTAGTAACAAGAACAACAAAAAACTCCCCCAAAACAAAACCAAACAAACACAAATAAAACCAGAAAAAAATCAAAACTCTCAATATTTTCTCAATGTTTGGATGGCTTAAGTGGGATTTTTGACAATGTGCTAAGTTTATCATCTTTCCTGTAACAGTTATTACTATGGTATTCTAAAGGGAATTTTCTATTTTGCTCCCAAACATTTGTTCATTGAAATTCTTTTGCAGTAAAAAACATAAAGATTTATAAGCACTCCTGTTCTAGGGCCTATTCACCTTTGCCTGTGACAAGCCAGATGTCTGTTGAATATTTAGATATGGATATGGACATGTATGTGTATATGCATGTAAATGTCAGCATACATATAATTATATATACATGGATATTGTACAAGGGGACTATACTCAAAGTCAGTTATCACTGATTTTTTTTTGGGGGGGGGGTTGAAAATACTGAATTTGCCAGATTAAATTTATTCAATAGTTTTCTTTCTTTCTTTTTTAATATGTATTTTTAAAGTTGTATGTGGACACAATATCTTTATTTTATTTTTATGTGGTGCTGAGGATTAAACCCAGTGCCTCATGTGTGCCAGGTGAGTGCTCTACCACTGAGCCCCAACCCCAGCCCTATTCAGTTTTCTTAATAAAAAATATATAGCTGGGTGCAGTTGTACATGCTTATATTCCCAGTGACTCAGAAGATTCCTGCAAGAAGATTGCTAGTTCAAGATCAGCCTGGGCAATTTAGTGAGACCCTGTCTCAAAAATGAAAAGGTTTTGAGATATAACTTATGGGTAGAGCACCCCTGGGTTCAAAT